TCGACGAAAAGCACATCCAGTGCGTGGTCGTCATCCACTGCATCCACCCAACTTTCGCGAGTCACCAGTAGATTCGTCAGACACGATAATCCCTTCCTGAATCCGTGTTATGCATTGCTAAGTAGATTAAGGCTACTCAGATAACTATCCAATAAATCTCTCACCAGTTTCTCGAATACTAGTCAGACTAACTGGCCTGTAATTTGCGGGCAGACTCCTGTTCCCTTTTTTGAAGATGGGACAGATGACAGCTTCCTTCCTTTCGGAATGTCTTGCACAGCTGCCGAGCGATTTCTGAAATACCATAGCGCGCGGTCTACTTGGTGCCGTAGCCAACTTATGCAACAGTTTCGGATGAATTAAATCAGGCCCAGTGGCCTTATAAAGGTTCGGCCCTTGTAACAACCTTCGAACTTCCGTCTCCGTTACAATAAATTCAGATAGTCCTGAACCCTCTGGGATCCTGCAAACCAGCTCAACGCCAGCCAAACAGGTTTCCCTTACAAACGCTGCCGCATATTGCCCACTAAGTACACAGACCTTGTCAAAGTCCGTATGCGCATGACTATCGTCATCGCGCATCAATGCTGTAATTGATATGTTCGCACGGCAACGTCTTTTGACAGAAGCGAATAATCTTTTTGGATTCTCTGAAGCTTCGTCCGCTAACCCTTTCTCGAAACTGAGCCGAGCATACCTTAGGTGTTGCTTACACCTATTTCTAGCCTTACGGTACCTGTCATAAGTATCAGTGGACGGAGCATCTCGGTAAGTCTGCCAACATCTAGACCTCTTTGTGAGCAGATGCCTGCCAGTGGAATCTATCCAGGACGGCTGTGCTCGTGCCTCCTCTCTTCTTGTGACTGGGATGAAGGGAGCAGAGACCTCTGTGAAGTAGGGCTTAAATGTCTCCCAGGTAATTTGGAAATTATCGTCGTCTGAGATCTCACAAGGGAAACCCGAAGCGTTGGCTCTCCTTGATTGGTAGTCTGAGTGCCATATGTTCGGGCGAGACTCAACAGTACTCTGGTAGTCTAGATAGAATACAAATGAAGAGCAAACAAACATGATCACTGGAACCCAGTGGAGGTCCCTAAGTAATGTCACCAACAAAATCGAGTGACTTAGCAAATACAAGGTCTAAGATAGGCGGTACTTGGGCGCCCATGTACCTAGTGGGGAGGTCAATGAACTGATGCAACGGTATTTGGAGCGTAAGTTCAAGCAGATCAGCGCCGAATGTGCCTGACGCTGAGTCGCAAGAATGATCTGCCCAACAAACCTCTGGGAGGTTGAAGTCGCCCATCACCAAACACTTGTTTGAGGACTGGGAGCGAATAAAGTACCTCTTTGGATATTCTCCCAGGGCTTCTATACAAATTACAACTGTAATCTGGGCCGAGGATGTGCTAATAACAGCTGACAGGGCTTCAACATTGTTGTCTACCGACTGAAATAAGTAAGTCTTCAAAACGTCAAGTTTACAGCTCACATAAGAGCGACGCCCCCTCCCTGCCTGCCAGCGGAGCGATCTCATCTTAATAGTGTGTAGCCAGATAGATGTACTTCACCATCAGTGATGTCCTGAGATAACCACGTTTCAGCGAATGGGAGTATATCGGGAGGAGACCCATCTACAAGCAGACCTAACTCGTACACTTTATTCCTTGGGCTGCACACATTACTTAGCACTATCTGAAAATGTTCGTTAGATCCAGACCTGAGTCGTGCGCTACCAGAACGGGCAGTGGTAGGGCGCAAAAGGACCGCCGGATGACCACCCGAAAACCAAGTAACCGGAGACCTTGTTCACTGGCCGCTCGCCTGCTTTTGAGGTCCTTGGTGGCCTCCCTTAACTTCAGCCTATCGGCCAGCGGAAGGTTCGGCTGAACACTAATATTTGTACCTTTCAGCTTAAAAACAAACTGCATGAGAACGTTGCGTTCCTCCAGGGTAGAGAGTACAACACGAAGTAGCTGCGGTCGAGGGTCTGGGACGTTCCCCAGTCTAATCAGCTTCCTGACAGTAACGCCTGGATAAGTAGGTGAAAGAAGCTTTGTTACGCACATTTTAAACCATTGAAGGTCGTCCAACATGCGGTCATCAAGAAGGAGAACAGTAGATTCACGCACGTTACGGAATATAACGCTGCTATCCGTGAAAGAATCGCTACGATTGGGTGTATTAACACCACGGGTTTTGGATTCGACGCTTGGAGCAGGTGGCTTCACCATTGGTGATGGGACTGTCTTTTTTCTATCAGATAATATAGCAACGGCCGCATATGTTTTTTGCTCCATTGTCGCTATCTTACTATTTTTCAGGTCATCGATTCCACCGAAAGGATTTATGGCAGATTAGGTCTGCTTTTTCTTCTTGATAACAGGAGCAGGGTCCCGTGAGACATTTTCATTTCGAGCACAGTCAAGCAAAACTTCAGTACCTGCATTCTCGGTGAGAGCCGATAAATCCCAACCTTGAGAGAAGTTGCGTGCTAATCGCTCACTTGTGCACTCGCGGTTTTTTAACTGTGGTTCAGCGACATTTTGTCGCACACCTATGCATCCATACTCATTCGTCGTGCTTTTACAAGCTCTACTTTGTGATAACAGTTTTCCGAGTACACTCCAGTGCATCGTATATTTACCCTGATTTCTAACTTCCGGGCAGTGCTTCGCCGATATCCAAGTGCCAAAAGTTGTCTAACTCCAACCATCGGTGACATTGTTTGATCTCAATCGATAGACCATTTCAACGGCTTTCGAACGAACTGTCACTTATTCAAATCCAACATTGATTGGCGCAGCTACATGTCTCAAGGCAAATTCACTCGGCGCGATCCATAGGCTTAACCACGAAAATTCTCAATCACACCTTCGTGTATTCTGCCCACGTGCAAGCTGACACATTCGACTGGCAAGCTAGATAAGACAGTCTACAAGCACACAACTGCAACGTGACTACTGTGAGCTTACCGACAACGTCAATAACAGAACAACCTTTTACCATAGAGGGGGATTCATTCAAATGATTCGTAACATTTGCTCAACAAGCGTGATGCCCAGTGTGTCACAGACTAAAGACCTATGTGGATCATGATCTAAAATTGTGAATGGGGCATTTTGTGCCGTAACTGTTGCAAGTTCTTCCATGCTAGATGCCTCCGAGTTAAACCTAGTCAGGCCAAGTTATTAAGCAAACCAGACTCACTATGGTGCTATGTGGAATGTACATCGATCCCACGGAGAAAAAGCGTGCTCCTATTATCTCAGAAGTATGATCAGCTACTAGCCAATTTTGAGGAAATGATGATCACCAAAATCACTGGGGTTGGGGTAAGCATAGTGGACTGTGCAACCCAATTTTCCCCCGTAAGTGATTCTCTTAACCCGCAAAGAACTGTTAATAACACCCTAAGTAACACAACATCTAGAGTCCAGAACATCAACAGCTGTCCCAATATCACACGTAGCTCACATTTGACTAAAGCGGTTCCCAGTTCGATCGGAGTAACTACACGTAAGGCTACTGCCAAACTCCCGACGGAGTGCGTAGAGAAAGAGCAAGCCGTTACGAGCGAAAGTTGGGTTACGGTTACTTCCAAGAAGAGCCGTCATTTAAAATTAACATCACCCCCAACTGGATCGAAAACTGTGGAGCGTAGCAGAGTTTTCCTAGTGCAAGCACCACCGGTTTCCTGCGGTACATCTCCGAGTACTTCAATCACTAACCACGACATGTCGAAAGGTGTAGAGAAACAATTACCTGTACTGAGCGTACTGTGCTCCAATATCCCAGAATCAAAGTCGACATCGATAAGAGGCAGGCAGTTGGATGACCCCAACCACTGGGATATTATTAGTAGCCTAATCGGAGTTGTACTGAAACCTGCACACGTAATGCCTATTACACGACACCCCAACTCTAAGCATTTCGGAGAACCAAGACTTCTTTATGTTGTGCTGAACTCCATCACTGAAGTAGAATCAATACTACTGTCGACAGGTAGTCTCAGAAATGAACACTGCTCCATCCGTATCTTTGCAGACATCCCATGGGGCCAGCGTTATTTATTTAACCGCACCTTAGAGGACTACCGGAAGGAAACTTCAATCAGAACCATACTTCTTCACGGGGTTTCTGAAACTGAAGCATGTGATGAGCATGAAATAACAACCCGTGATAAAGAACGGTGGTGTTATATTAATGAAACACTCCGCTTGGATGGTGTGTTAGCGAATTCCGGGTCACGGTTGCGTACCTCCCCGAACTACAAAGGAATTGGCATGAGAATGATGAAGGTGGACCTTCAGTCAATACATATGGTAGCACGGATGTTAAAAAGCTGGTGCATGTTCCGTTGCAAGCTACCATCTGAGGTTCGGCTAAAGACAATCAGCGATATGCTTCCTTGAGAGGATATGTCATTCAAAAAGCAAACGCGTTAGGATCTATGAAAGAACAATGCACCAGTAGCGTGCCGAATGAGCTCATTCAACCTGTAGAAGATCATATGGACCAGACACCTTACACTGTACGTCGAAGATTAGACACGGGACTAGCAACACGGACGAGGAATAAGACGTTAAACCCATCACCAAGTACACACCGATAAAACGATTAGTCGCCGACCACTCACTGGTCGGCGAAACTTCACTTATGAGTTGGATAACACCCGAAACATTGCTTAAATCTGAGAAACTTTCATGTATGTAGACTAATGCCCAAGGGCTCCTCACTAAAATTACCGAACTTCGACTATGTCAGGTTGCGAATGCTTGGGACCTAGTTTCTATTACCGAAACTTGGTTACATCAAGAGGTAACTGATGCTGAGGTTGAGATAGCCGGAATGTCACTCGTCCGGAACGACCGCCGCAGCAGACGAGGTGGGGTCCTACTCTACTACCGCAGCGATCTACAATGTACAACAGTTGATGATCTGGAAACACACGTTACCGACTCACTCTGGTGCCGTCTCCGACTGACACACAACGACACATGTCTCATAGCTATCGTTTACCGCCCCTCCCCCCAACGTCCACTCCGGAAATGAATTCCCGCTTGATCTGTGGCCTAAACAGAGCAATACGCACTAGGTACAATCACATTCTCATCTCCGGGGACTTCAATCTACACAATCTGGAGGTCTTGGCATCGCCTATTGAGCAGTTCAAAGCAGACTTGCAGGAACTGATCGCTAATATTCCCTTGTACAATCATGTCACCACGCCCACTAGATTCAGGACAGCAAACAAACCGTCCATATTGGACCTTGTGCTCACGAATGAAGAGCTCATGGTTGACATTAGGTCTCAGTGACCATGTAGTAATAACTTTTGACTATGTGTCTTATGTAGACTATCCATCTGAACACTCGGAACTAACTCATACAATCACACGCTAAGACGTATTGAAAGAACTCGCTGACGCAGCTATTTGAGAATTCCAAAACAAACGTCCCCTTGACAACGTTTGGGCAGAGTTCGTTAATAGACTCTGAGACATCGTCAACAAAGCATCAGAGACCAAGCCTCTTTATCCCGCGAAAATGCCTTCAATTCTAAGGAGCAGGACTCGAAAATGCCTAGTGATAAGGGATGCAGCATGGCATGTTTACAAGATTAACCCCGACTCAGAGAATTGGGGAAATTTTCTGGCCCATCGCAACCATTGCACTACACTTGTCCGTGAGGACAAACTAACTTCTCAACAGTGCCTAGCCAAAAAATTCATAGCAAACAACAAACTGCTATATAGGCAGGTCAATAAGCTTCGTAAAGTGAAGCATGGAATCCCTCCACTTTTCACGACAGGTGGTAGAGCAAAAAGCGCCGAAGAAACAGCTAATGCCCTGCGGCTACAATACGCCCCAATTTTCGAACTCGTAACCTCTACCTGTCCCATAACGTTATGCACATTACCGACCCCATTGTTTACAAATGTAATTTTCAACCCATCAATAGTTCTAAGGAAGTTACTCACACTGCGTGAGCACAGTTATCCAGGAGCAGAGAACATACACCCGTAGACACTGAAGGATGTGGCCAACAAGCTGGCTGAACCACTGTCACAGTTCTTTCAAAGGTGCTTTGATGAACAACGAGTCCCCACTATGTGAAAGTGTGGCATTATCACCCCTATTTTTAAAGGCGGTAGCCGTTCAGTTCCTGCAAACTATCGTCCAGTGACTCTCCTCCCTGTGCTCGCGAAGGTGATGGAAGCAGTCGTCGCTGAGGCTTTAATGGACTAGCTGGAAAAATGCAAAAACTTGGTACCTGAACAGCATGGCTTCCGTCAACACCGGTCATGCACCAACAACCTACTTATTGCACGAGGTAGTTGGACGGAAGTGGCTGATGATGGGGTCGGAGTTGACGTCATCTATCTGGACTTCTCCAACGCTTTCGACCGCCTTGATCACCGCATCCTACTTCAACGGCTACAGAGTTACAGAATCGGAGATCCAGTACTTGGTTGGATTGGCAGCTTCCTTCACCAACGCAATCTTCAAGTACGTGTTAGGTGATCACTCTCTAACCCAAGTGAGGTGGAATGTAGTGTTCCACAAGGCTCGGTGCTGGGACCGCGCTTATTCTTGGTGTTTATCAACGACCTGGCAAGAGTCATCTCCTCAAATTTCCTGCTTTTTGCCGATGACGTCAAGATACTGCGGGCTATTAGCAACAAGCCAGATCAGGATCTGCTCGAACATGACTTAGATTATATTTACGAATGGTCAAAGACGAACAAGCTTCAATTGAACAAAGCTAAGTGCAAAGTGATACATCTGCGTCACCAGCCGGTGAGCGCTTACAAGATTGGAGACCACACCTTGGCGAAGGTTTCTCAGGAGCGGGACCTGGGTGTATTGGTACAGGAAGATCTCGGGTGTTCAAAACAAGCAGAGAAGGCGAGGAGAACCGGAAATCAACACTTCGGCATTCTTCGCAGAGCCTTCGGTTGGTTTGAACCCTCAATATTTCCCCAAATGCTTGACGCCTAGATGCGACCTCACGTGGAATATGCTATTCAGGCGTGGCAGCAGTGGCAAAAACAGGATCTCGTTGCTCTCCAGACTCCTCAACGTAGGGCAACCAAGAACGTCAGGGGCCTCTTCCATCTGCCCTATCAGCTTAGACTGAAATCTCTGAGGATGTACAGCAGTCGATATCGGCTTTTGCGGGGGGATCTCATAATGGCTTACCAGATTCTGAAGAACCCAAACCACATTTGCCGCCCGTTGCTGCAATTGAACTGCAACACTAAACTAAGAGGTCACCCTCTGAAACTGACAATTCAGCATAGCCGCCTTGAATGCGTAGAAATTTCTTTTCTCTCCGCGTGTGTGAGCCTTGGAACGCCCTCCCTAATTTTGTCGTCTCTGCTCCTAATCTGGCGATTTTAAAAAACTTGCTGACGATGTATTGTCTCACTTACATTTCATTTTATGACTTGTTAGCCAGGGGCTACAAAACGCAATCAAACGGTGTCTAGCCAAACGTCTAACCAATGGATTTATGGATTTATACGTTAAATACGCGAACATCTCCGCTATTCCACATAAGTCTATGGTGAGTCCACTACGACGCTTTTCACTTTATCATGCAATTCATTTTCGCAATAATTTCCATCCCACAGGACTTGTTAAGCTATGCTTTTTTACCCGTAATAAATCATTGTTCCATTGTTCCATCCGACAGCTTCGTCTGACAAGTAGTGCGTGTGGAAATCTTCGCCTTCGCACAACCGTCAGCCGGTTTGACAAGTTACGACACTTGGCTTTTTCCGCTGCCGAGACAACTATAACCTTGTTTAGCAGAGAGCTTAAGGAGTTTATTGACTCTTTCGCTTTACTCGAAGGGACCCTTGAACCACGAATTCGGCGTCGATCAGGGTAGCTTTAGATACGACGTCCGAAGCAGGTTCATTTTTGTGCTCGGTAGCCATCTGGACGGGTGATATAATGATTTGTGCCACAAGTTGATCTCCAGTGTAAGCGATCAAATTTGCGTTGTTGGAGACCGAATGCGTCGTCATGAGCAGATCAAACTTAAGGCGAAGTTCTGAGAGCATCGAGAACAAACGCACTACGTTACACAACCGAGTATCAAGAGATTCGTCTCTGGTACGAAAGCCGCACGGCCTTGCCGGCGGCTGCAGCAATTGGCACAACTGAAAGGCAACTTTTCTCTGGAAGCCAACGCTGCGTACTGCTCGATATTTAGGTCGGTACAAAGTTGGTGTTACCATCGATAGAAGACATCATACTGCATACCGCCGAAATCATCAGTTACTGGTTTATTGCAGCTTGAACTGCTACAAAGTGCGATAACCTCAGAATCCAAGCCATTTGGAACAACAGCCTCGGTGCATTGCGAGACCGACATAGTGTAAAATAAAGTGGAATTAAAACAAGTAGACAATAGTTAAACGACCTCAACAAAAGGCAAAACCTGGGTGCAAAACGGGATTAAAACTGAGAAAAACCGGAAAACTTACCAGTAAGGGCCAAAAACGCTTTGACCAGAACCGCTTTAATCAATCTAAGATATATTGAATCAAAGGAAATTTGACAATAGTCAAATTCTGTTACGTGTTTATTCAAACACTGTTTTTCACGATATTGTAGCTAAAAAGCTCGATCAGTATGGCACACCAAAAATCGAGGTCGCGATCCTTTGATTTTTGCCGCAGCCGCCTTTCGGAAAGTCTACTCAGCAAGCCTTAAGCGTTGGTGTGTATACAAGAAAGCTTCTTGAATATAAAAGTCTGTTGACTAGGAGCACATGGATGAGGCAGATTCCTACCGACCGATGTGAGGCCAGTTCTTATTCGTTTTTTGGGTGAATTGTCAAATCTCAATATGAATGCAATCTGTGTTTGGTCTCACTTGTGCATATGGTATGTAGTCTATCGGCAGCCTTCGCGATAGCTACTGGTCTTAGCGCACAGGTTTCTTAATTACCGTTGCCGTTATATTGAGTCGCGGCTGGTGTCGTTTTTGTGAGAACAGGAAGAGGCTGAGGCCCTCTGACAGAGTCTTCAGTTGTAGTCCCGAAGGAAGTGTGTTTCTACGAGTTAATTAACCGCCATCTGATGTGACTGCATCGTTAGTTTCTGTAACCTCGTACCAATGCCTCTGTAGTTTGGTGACACGAGTAATCGTGTAATCGACTGAAGTATGACATCGACCGCACAGACAGCTTCACTAGTGTAACGCCATTCTTCCAGGTCATGAGCATAGGCATCTTCCTTGCTGGTTTTCGGTAGTTCGGGCATGCTAGGAATGAAAATAAGTATTTTGCTACTCTCCATGTAGTAGCCGTTTGAATTACTCTTATCCCGCTGGCGTTCGCTCTATGGAACGTCCGGAAACATTCCGATCCCACTGTTTCCAACCTGCAGGCATTTTGCCGACAAAAGCACTATCTCAACTTCATTTGTTGATCCCAATGTTACTCGCGGGACTTTCCGCAATGAATCGAGGTTGGATGTCTGGTGATGCGCACCATATTAGTTGGCCTGGCTTGAACTCCGATTTTATCACAAAGGAAGTTCCATTGCTTTAAATCCTCCAGGTCTTTACGCCTTAAGCATTTTACCTTGGATTCAGGAACGCTAGTACCTATAAGTGTCAAGTCTCCCTTGTTCCACCTGGTCCTCGGTGATGTGGGAAGCACGGTCATCGTGCGATTTAGTGACGTCTCCGTAGGTTACACCCGGTGCTTGACCCGTTTTGTGGCTGTACTGGGTGAGACTACTGAGGTCGCACTTCGATTATACTAAACATTAACGGTTGCATAAGTGGACCGGTCTTTAGAGCGTTTCTGAATTCTTTGGTCAATCGGAAGCGTCAGCGTTACCGATGTTGTATCAGTCGGTAGATTGGATAAGAGGATGTAGGCGGTGGGGCTAGGCATGCTTCTGTCGGTCGCGATGAAAAGCTGGTTCTTGATTCCCAAGGTTTCTAGTACTGCGTGGCCGTGTGAAAGTCTGGCCCTTTTCCTTGGTTTCGAAGCATCAACTGAGGGAGACGGATTAGCTGCAAGATGCGCTACTGTCGCCACGAGTGAAGTAATTTTCGCAAATAAACGATGTTCAGATGGGTCGACTAGGCTGTCGGACCTATGTGCTAACGCTAGTACATATTTTGCTAGTGGAACCATCGTTCACTTTGGACAGAACCCGGCGTATTGTATTTAATTATATCGGTTTGACAGACGTTGACGCTTTTCGTATGGCGCCGGTCTAGGCAAGTTGCGCAAGTCAATCCTCCTTTTACTATCTTAGCAAAATCTTGATGAGCACAAAATACTTCG